AATAATAATTAATAACATGAATAATGTCACTAATAAAAACCGTCATCATGATGATAAACATGTCGGCTCATTTCCTTAGCATTATTAGCAAGTTAGCAGGCAAAATTTATCACAAACAAAACTATTGGTATAATAACACAAAAACATAGGCTACAAGTTAAAAACGCACATTGTAAAAGTTCTGCATGAATCTCACATTCTGTGTGTCTAAATTTCATAAACCACTGCACGTTTAGCAAGATCTACGTAAAAACAAAAGTATAACTCCCAACACAGAGAGCTTCCAGAGTCTGGGAATTGGGAGTCTGAGTCTTTATTGCCCTCTGCTGGTTATTCTGTCAAATCAGATTGAGCTGACAGAACAGATGTCGCTCTGTTAGCTTGCACAGACACTTGACTAACAAAATACTGTGTGTAGATTTGTGAGTCCAGACAGTCCAGATACAGTCTATTAATAAGAGGTGAAGTCCACCAAACATTGTGCAGCTTCCATCTGTTTGGTTCCACATACGGCTGCATATTGCATATGCACGGGGGAAGTTGTGGCCTAATGGTTAGAACTAATTCCGAGTATGGGTCACCATACTTGGCCACATGTCACTTCACTTATATGATGTGTAGAGCAGCTGAAGTTTATTGTAAACAAGATCTCTGATGATTTCAGTCTGAAATGAACAGTATACGAGAAAAATGATTGCAGCTCTGATTGTGTCTGAATCTGATGCAGCTTCACAAAGAGAAATGCAGCAGACGTAATGCATCCAAACAACCTCGTCATATTCATAATATTATCAATAAAGCATTGTTAAAGCATTCCTGAACATTTACATTTATTTGCAGCCTATTAATTTGGCAGACGCTTTTATCCAGAGCGACTATTGTATTCCTCAGCTGTAAACACGAGAAGTGGCCGTTATACTGTAGGGCCTATCACAGTTTCCACAAAAATATTAAGCAAAAACATATTTAAAAAATTAAGTTTTCAGTATTGATAATAATAAGGACCATTAGTAATAATTGATCACAAATAATAACTGATAATAATTAAGCAGCAAATCAGCATATTAGAATGATTTCTAAAGATAATGTGACACTGAAGACTGCAGTAATGATGCTGAAAATACAGCTTTGATCACAGAAATACATTAGCCTACATTTTAAAATATGTTTAATGAAAACCACTATTTTAAGTGTAATATTTCATGGTATTAATATTTGTTACTGTATTTTTGATCAAATTAATTCAGCCTTCTTTTAAAAAATTATACAATGTTCTAGAGTAAGTTTGAGAATGATATTTTACTGATTTTTAAAAACATTTTCTTAGACACCTGAAATTACAGAAGAAAGCCTGGATATTAGATTTACAAACATTCACTCTTATCTTATGTTGTGACGAATAACGTAAATGGCATTAAGAAATTTGAAGTAGTTTGTATCCCTGAAAATTAATGTCTGTCATTTAACTTTTTTTTTCTTTTCTTCGTAAACAGTTGGCAAATATTGCTGAATTGTCTCGCTGTTCAACTGCTTACATCTTACCTCAGCTCGCATTCAAATGCTGCGCAGCTCAGCATCTGTGAACGGTAAATGTTTTTACCTCATATGTGAGCCTGGAGCACAAAAGCAGTCATAAGTAGCACAGGTATATTTGCAGCAATAGCCAACAATACATTGTATGGGTCAAAATTATACATTTATCTTTTATGCCAAAAATCATTAGGATGTTAAGTAAAGATCATGTTCAATGTGGACAACTTTAAAGATGATTTTCTCAATATTTAGATTTTTTTGCACCCTCAGATTCCAGATTTTCAAATAGTTGTATCTCGGCCAAATATTGTCCTATCCTAACAAACCATACATAAATGGAAATATTATTTATTCAGCTTTCAGACGATGCATGAATCTCAATTTCGAAAAATTGACCCTTATGACTGGTTTTGTGCTCCAGGGTCACATATTTTTGTGGTTTTAGTTGTATGATTTTAATGCAGTCAGTCGGGAAATCATGACTGTTCATTGTGTGACACTAATATGAAACCATTTTTTTGTTTTTCTGAAGCTGTGAGAACAGATCTGACAACGTTGCACATATACAGTTGTGTTTGAGGAGGTTTAGCATTGCTAACAATAGTTTTTTTGACAGAAAATGCAAAAAACACATGTCATTTCTTAGTTTTACTGCTGTTTATTTGAACAGAACTCTCAACAAACACATTTAACACTGAAAACATTTTTATTTAGTTTTTTTTTTTATGATTGTTTGCACACTCAAATTAAAAATAACATGCAGTTAGTGAAACCTGACACTCAAAGAGCAAAGCCTCAGTCCAGATCTGCACAACTATAAGCACATTCTCAGCCTCACACTTTTTGCAAGACACTAAACACACATCAGACACAGAAATCTAACCTGATGTCACTTCTTTGCCATTTCAAGACACTGCTTTCCAAAATACCACACATATGAACCAATTGATCAAACACAGCCGTCAGGTGTGCAGACACTTAGGTGCTTAACCGTAAACTCAACAATCAGGTGTGAGCACTATAAAAAGGCAACAGGTGAATTTTTGTCTTCAACAAAAATGAAAGGCAGTGTTGCTGTAAGAGGGAGAGGGAGAAACATGGTTGGCCACAGAGCTATTTTGAATGTCCCGGGTCAGCGTGGTGGTAACATCACAATATATGCTGCAATCACACAGAATGGGGTCCTCCACTGGCATGCCAACTTAGCTCCTTACAACACTCACATTTTTAGACAGACTAAGTATTGGACAGACTAGGTATCTCAGTACCTTTCACCGGCATAACTCTTGCGCACAGTTTGCGTGTTGCTTGCTTGTGTTGCTTGACCCCTCCCCCATAATATCAATTGTTTATAGGCCACATATTAGGCAAGTTTTTTTAATGTTTATTTTTTTAATGTTAATGAAAGTGACACCAAAAATAAGGGAACATAATTACTAAATCCTTGGGGGGGCTGTGCCGGGGCTGAGCAAGTTTCTGATGGGCCCCGTCAAGCCCCGCCCTAAGGGAAAGGAAACCGAGAGGACAGAAATAAAGTAGACACATTGCAGTTTCAAATGATCTGTATGACCAAAAATAACAGAGTATTTTTTTGTTGTTTGTTTTCGCTGTTCGATCGCGCCGGCGCCTCACGCACACACATACAGCATTGCAAACGTTGCAGCCTGTTCATTATCAGAATAAAATACAGTCAACCAAACATAGATGCACTGGTTAATTTAAATAGTGCGTAGCCTACTGCGTAGTACAATCCGTGCCGTTCAGCCTGAGCTTGGGCCAAACACACATTTGCTCATGTGACGAGGATGTTTTTTAAGTGCGTTAAGTAAGCTTGGTTTACATAATAAATAATAGTTTAGCATTCAAATACATCGCAAATATGGACACATTTAATTGGATTAATGCCGAATGAGAGAGGTAGGCTGTGCGAAAACGCCATTTGCTTTCAGTTTCGCATTGAATTAGCCTATTTTTGGCTTGTTTAGCAACTTATATTTTTCATTCTTGTTTTCTTCTGAAACCGTTCAAAATTGCCTATAGGCTAGGTATTGTGTTTATCGTTTGTACATTATAACATTTCTCTTTATTTACCGGTGTTATGAATGTAATAATGCGGTTTCTGCTTATCTGTGTTTAACCTGAACTACAACGTAACATTAATGTAGACCTACATACCGGCACCTAAATATGATTTTATAATTTTATGCTATATAGACCTACCACATTACACTCCACTGAATGTAGTATGAACAGCAATAAACTACATTTTGGCATTTTACAATACTTATGTGGATATTTTGGATGAAAGCAACTCAAAAGTAGTGTAATGCATTACAATTCAGAGACAGTAATATTGTAATGTAACTAATTACTTTCAAAAGACAGTAACTAGTAATATATAATGTATTACATTTTGGAAGTAACTTGCCCAACACTGAAAAAGGCATATATACCTAGCACATTATGAACTACTGGATGTTTAATGAGCAGCAATAAACTACATTTTAGCATTTTAGAATGCCTAGTCATAAGTCTGTGGATATTTTGGTGAAAGTAACTCAAAAGTAGTGTAACGCATTACAATTCAGAGACAGTAATATTGTAATGTAACTAATTACTTTCAAAAGACAGTAACTAGTAATATATAATGTATTACATTTTGGAAGTAACTTGCCCAACACTGGTGACACAGCAGAGTTCACTGTGTCACTTCAGATGACTCCATAAGAAATGGTAGGCTTACATGATTGTGGTCTTGTTCCTCATATACCACGTGTTTCACATTCAGTTCTATAAAACAAAGTTGTGTTTGATCAAAACAGTTCAGAATTCAATTTCATGTGTTTTAGCCACTTTGACAACTATACAGTAAGGATACTAATTATGTCATTAATTACTCACCCTTGTGTCGTTTCAAACCCGTAAGACCTTCGTTCATCTTCAGAACACAAATTAAGATATTTCTGATGAAATCCGAGAGCTCTCTGACCACCAGTTAAACTGCTTCACACAACTAAAATATGCAAATCTAAAGATAGGAAAAGTGCAGCTTTTCTTTCTGTTAAAGGCAGTTTTACCTGGGAGTTTACTTTAACTTTAAAATAATATTGTCAGTCATATTAAAACAATAATTTATCCATACAACTCATCACTAGTAACAGCATTGCCAAGAAAAAAAACAAAAAAAAGCACTACCACTGTAGTGAATCATGCCACAAAATAACCTTGGAATATGCTCCCATGGTTGAAAAACAAAGATAAAAAACAGCTGAGTGCAAAAAAGTATAGATAAAGAAAATGCCTTTATTATGAGGATCATGTTGGCAAAAATGTTACGATTATTATTCAAAACTGATCTGATTATGATTAATCTATAAAGGAGCACATTTCTATATTTCAGAGTTTAAATACTTACACAATGGCAGCGTTAGGGCAATGTGAATCTGTATCCACAGCACCGACAATTCTTTTGGATGGAATTTGAAAGTCAATAAAATCAAAGCAACACCACACAGGAGCTGCAGGAGCAGCTGTTGGTGAAATTAAAAAAAATAGTTTTAGGAGAGAATGGGTATAAAACCAACATTAGCCAAACCTGTGCAAATGCAACAAATGAAATTAACGTGCCATAAATTGTCTGAAAAGAATATATTTTGTCTGGATTCGAAATGAAAGCCCTCACCATATGAAGTGCACCGCTTAGAGCAGAAGATCACCAGGAACAGCACACACATCAGGCTTCTCATTCTTCAAGATGTTTCTGATTAATCTATAAAGGAGCACATTTCTATATTTCAGAGTTTAAATACTTACACAATGGCAGCGTTAGGGCAATGTGAATCTGTATCCACAGCACCGACAATTCTTTTGGATGGAATTTGAAAGTCAATAAAATCAAAGCAACACCACACAGGAGCTGCAGGAGCAGCTGTTGGTGAAATTAAAAAAAATAGTTTTAGGAGAGAATGGGTATAAAACCAACATTAGCCAAACCTGTGCAAATGCAACAAATGAAATTAACGTGCCATAAATTGTCTGAAAAGAATATATTTTGTCTGGATTCGAAATGAAAGCCCTCACCATATGAAGTGCACCGCTTAGAGCAGAAGATCACCAGGAACAGCACACACATCAGGCTTCTCATTCTTCAAGATGTTTCTTCACAATGACAGAAAGAATCTGTAGAAGTTCTGTGGAGCTTGAAGCTCTCAGAGCTGATGTGTCCAGAATAACGTCTGAGCAGCTTCACATATTCCACATAAAGACATTCATGTAAATCTATTTCTGAGTATCAAAATTGCATGAGAGTAGTTTTTAGCTCCTCCTTTTCCTCAACCTTTTGCAAGGAGTGAAATTATTTCCATATGAAATTAACTCCTCATGAAGCCAAAACTCAGAAACTCTCACAATGCAAAGGCCATGCCACAAAACAATGGGCTTTGATCTCCATATCAGATAGGAAGACCTGGAAGAAAGACCATTTGCTCGTCGGCCCCTTCACCTGGGTACATGGTCCAGGTCACTAAAAGTTGACAGAGAAATGCCAAGAACTCAAGCTGCTATGCTCACATAAAACATTTACTATATCTTCAGAGTTCATGATCGTAAACTTTTAATTTTAAAGGTCTTTGTGCGATTGGTATAATGGTCTCAATTTCACAGTAGTCACTTGTATTATAATTATAGAATTGTGTTCTGCTGAGGGGGGGTCCCTCTTTAGGGGTCTGTGGGAATGTTTATCTATCTCCAGCCAGGTGTGACCCTTGATCACTGAACCTAACAACCTTATTTTATGTTTTTACAACTGATTTGAAGATTTCTTTGTTATCTGGTCTGAGTATATAAGGGAAGTGACAAAACACTACTTGGCTATTCTGTATTTCATATGCTCCATACTATGCATCTTCCTGAAGTCGGGTATGCATTTCATTTTTATTAAAAAATGTAATTGTGTTAAACACATTGTGCCCATAGAGCACACTGTATAGTTGTTTGTTCTACTACATGTGCGCATAGGCTAGTTACGTTTATTCTCTAAAACACCTGAGTGCTTTGCTATGACTTTTAGAACATGTGTCTTATGTTAAATTAGGATAACTGCTACATGTGTGACTATGTTAAATTTGTTTGTCTCCTGCGTGGAACACTTGACTGTTTCCCATATAGCTACAGTGTCTATGTACAGGAGCAGGGTTGCCACGCAGCTACAATCTGATTCACAATTGCATTATCTTTTCTAAATTGGCTTCTAATTGTTACTTTGTGTAATTGACATGATACAATTTTACCTGACTAATAATAAAATGTTATATTTGATTTATTCTGATCTCTGCTGAAATCATTATGACTAGTAGACTGTGAGGAGGCTTTTGTTACCGCAAATCTACGGCCAGGATAGGTCAATGAATGATATGATAGGAGCAGTGGGCACATCATCGGAGAGATTTCTGTCTATCACTGGTGCTAGCAGGTTGTACGGGAAAAGACGAAGTAAACAAGACTTTTTGTCATAAGCAAGCAGTAGGCGGCAGGCAAAACAGGTATAAGTCTACCTACACCCTCTGACTAGCATCAGACTGGCGAGTTTGTGATCGTAAGGTCCACCTATAGCCAACATGAGACTTAAAAGAGACATTAGGTCCCCAGTGAACGGATAATTGAAAGTATAGTGAGTCCGGAATAATCAAATATCTAAATTAATACATAATCGACATTTGTGAACAGTTTTTAATTAGAAACATTCCCTAAATTTAATGATCATTTAAAATTGGAGTCAGATTGAACACGGAGCTAGACTAAATTTTAAACTAAATCCTGATAAATTCAGAAGTGCAAGTAAAAGACCAAATATGCATTAAACCTTCAACCAGGCCGCTGGACTCTTTTTGGGGCGGTGGGTGGATCCTTACAACTCGATAATGTCCACTAAGGATTCAGACACGACTAAAAATGGCTGTCCCCTCAAATAGTGCCCTATTTAAGGGTATAGGGGGCGATTTCGGATACAGCCCAGGTTTGTGTGCATGCTCCAAGTCTTCTTCTTCGTTTTTAGTGTATCTCTGTGGCAGAATTGCAATGCCACATACTGGACTGGTATGTATATTACATAGTTTTGAGTCGATTTCAGTCGATTCGTGTGTACGCAGATATTTCTTGAGACGACACCGTGTTTACTGAATATTTTTTAGTACAAGGAAAAAAAAAGTTCAGATAGGGAAATCTCTTGCTTTGTGTAGATGTGGCCACATACTGGTATTAAATTAACACCAGGGAATGTACTGTGTGGGTGTGATGACGTTTTGTGCATGATCGGTGGAATTTATTCTTATCCTTGTGCTGTGAGAGCAAGTTTTTCCGTGCACACTGAGCTACTTCCGGCCGTCATTGCAAAAGATGCAAATGAGGTGGCAATGCAGATGCTTGAAAACTGTGATCAGGAAGTCACAGAGTTTCTGTTTCAACACGTGCAGGTTGAGTCTAAACTCACTTCTCCGGTCGAGCTGGTGTCTCAAGTTTCATTGCATCATTCATTAGGAAGCAACGCTTCAATCAGGACTGCTAAAAGGTTGGGGTATATTAATAATGTGAATGCGTTTGAGCGCTTACTAATATGCAGTTTCTGTAAATGGATTACTGTTAAAGGGGTCATATGATGCGATTTCAAGTTTTCCTTTCTCTTTGGAGTGTTACAAGCTGATTGTGCATAGATAAGATCCCTGAAGTTGCAAAGACTAAAGTCTCAAAATTAA